TATACTATATATTACTATATATACTATAGTATAGTATATATATAATATATATAGTACTACTTATATATATATATCACTACTTATATAGATATATATACTATGTATATTACTATATATACTATATATATTATGTATATTACTATATATACTATACTATGTATATTACTATATATACTATATATACTATGTATATTACTATATATACTATATATATAGTATATATACTATATATACCGTATATATACTATATATAGTACATATAATATATATAGTACTATATATACTATATACAGTATATATAATATATATAGTACTATATATACTATATATACTATATATATTACTAATATAGATATATATACTATATATATTACTAATATAGATATATATACTATATATATAGTACTACTTATATATATATACTACTTGTAATACAATATATATAAGTGCGTGATGAGCGAGCATAGATTTCGATTTTTATTAACGTGTCGTCGCTTCGACGAATCGATTGTTCGTATTGGCTCCGCTGTGTAATGGATATCGATTGCATCTGTAAGGTTATCTGTCCTTCAAAATAATTCGAGTGTGTACAGAGAGTTAACATACTGTAGCTTCGAATATAATCGACAGTCCCGTGATTAAAGAAGGTAGTTTGTCATCGATATATAATGTAACAGAGCAAAAATGTTCCTTGAAATTTCATTGAAAGACGTAACATCCCCCTGCCCCGTTTTTCATTGTTCGAGGTTCAGCGTTTAGTAGCGGTACTCTGAAGATCGACGCTGGTGTCACGATGCCTCGCTTCGTCGAGCATGCTCGACGGTGGCATTGACAGAGTTAAAGATAGACCTCGTGCAGACAATAGCGGCAATAAATGTTTCGTCTAAACGTCTGAATAGGGAGAACATACGTTCAGGAAAGCTTTGTTCATCTTTTTCTCTCAATGAATTTTCTTCCCACGAATGAGTTCTTTTCGCTTGGTTATAGAACGATGCACCAGATACATTAGCTTGATTAATCACGATTACAATTAATCAATGTCTCATTGCTCTAAATCGTAACTCGCGATAATTGTTATCGTTTTGTTTTACAATAAAAGGTATTAGTAAAATATGGAGTACTAGAGATTATTCTACATATAATTTGACAATTACAGTTGATAGTTTTAATAAGATTGTAACTGTTTTAGGAGAACGAGCGAGCAAGAAGTCGGGTAAGCAGTAAACGGAGGAAATGGTCGATCGATCACTTAAGGATGGTACGCGGCAATCTGTTTCGACAACAGCAACAGGCAACGAAAACACAATCTTGTCTTTTCCCATGTGAAACTTTAATTTCCAAACGAAATACTATCTAGCGTAAGCGTATAAAAACTAAATGAACGGAGAATGGAAAAAAAACATTCTATGTATTTTATCATAGTACTGACGATGATTGTAATTGAAAAGGAGAAAATTTCGTCGAAAGTACGATCTGTGAATCTGACTTTCAAAAATCGTTCCCGGACGGTTGGTACATATTCGATCGTATTCGGCCGTTTCAGAATTAATTCCATTATAACGTGGCCAAATGTTATTAGTCGCTATGCGTGTATGCAATAAAAACCGCATAGTGGACGCAATAGCATTTTCTGCCGACTCTCTGATCGCTGTCTGCTGATTTACATGTGAATTAAATCTATCACAGACTTTATCCTCGATACAGTGGCATATTTTGAGGTCATTGATATTCCTTGTTATTCTTTTCTTTTAATTGGTCAATCTTCGACGTGAATGTATAATTTGGCAAAACATGCAACTCATCAGGCATGTTACCTACTTTAAGAAAGTCATCCAACCCTTTTTATATTTGCCTTTACAAAGAATATCTCTTTAGACAATTATTATTATTATCGTATTGTGCTACTGTGCCGATGATGAAACATTCGAAAATATAACAATTGTATAGCAATATATGCTATATTGAAAACTTGTAGAAGAATCAACATGAAACGACTGCCGTTGAGATTCTTTACGAAATACATATATTCTTGCTAGGATATACATCTCTCGTTACGAACCCATTCTCGAATTTTCAACATTATATGATTATCGACTATAGTGTGCATAGAAGTCCCCGATTAGAGATAGTTTTACTACCTTTCTTTTAGAATGCGTCGAAAGATCGAAAGAAAGAAAGAATATAAGGTTGATCACATATATATATATATATAT